ATTTAGATCATTTTTTATTTAATATAAAAAAATTATAAAGATTGATTAAAATTTGAATGATTTTTATTAGAAGCAATATTAATTTTTATATTGAAGTACAAATCTTTTTGCACTAATTCATATGTTATTAATTATTCAAATTCCAGCTTGTGATTGATTTATTTAATTTCCAGATCTAATACTTGTAAGATAAAGTAAATAAGTAATTGCTTTAATATCAGGTAAAAATTTCAGCATTATAATAGTTTTTGCAACAGATTTAAAGAGATCAAAGTTGAAATATATTGTAAGCTAATTGAAAGCCTTCTGCAAAGAATGTAATTCGTGCTAAGAGGTAAAGTTTAGAATTAGATATATTTTAATATTAAAAATTATGTAATCACGGGATTTGCAAATAAATTATGATTATTTAAAAATTTATTTATTAATCGAAAGTTTTATCTAAATGATCATTAATAGTAACTTAAGTTAAATTTAATTTAACGAAATTTATCATTATTGCATTAATGACTGATAAAAAGATTTCGTCCAAGTGATTCCATAATTATGGGAGCCACTGTAATTGATTTATTATCTTAACCATCCCAACTTCGTAGATTTTCCAATATTATATCTTTCGCAAACCTTTTCCACATCCTGTAAATTTTTCAATTGACCCTGCGCCACAATGGTCGGAAGACCTGTACCTTTACCCTCATTGACTACCTGTCCTCTAATTACACGTTGCGCCACCCTTAATAAATCTTCTAATGTAACCTCTCTAATTTTTTGGCACATTACTTCTACGGGCACTTTAAATCCATGAACTTGTACCTAAAAGAGAGAGATATAAAATAGATTAAAAAATAGAAGTTTAAATATCGATGATGAAATCGGACGAGACTAACCTGTCTGCCAAGATCTTCAAGTTGTACCATCCGCGATTCTAAATTCATGAGTAGACTACTCATGAGTTGATTCTTGGCCCGATTAAGCTCTTCCTCAGTTACTCCATAACGCCCTCGTCTCGCCACATGATCAAATTGCTGCGCAATCACATCAGCAACAGCATGATTGTAGTCAGGGCGACATGATGCGAATATACCAAATAGTCCAGAATCGGTATAACAATGATTGAAACACATACAAGATTCCATCCAAGCATATTGATTCAACACGTGTGTAAATAGTCTTGTGTACATACCCTTTCCAGGGCCACCTGCCGAAAAGGACCCACCTCCACCCAAAAGCATTTGTAATGTGGCAAGAGCATAAATGTCCGGATCATGAATTGGTAAGCCTTCTAATGCAATATAAACATAAGTATGCGGTAGTGTGGGTTGCTCAAGGTAAAGCGTGCCACCTGTATAATGAGACTTTTGACCCCCATGACTTATTGGAACCGGCTGTAATGTTGAGCCCTGACTAAGAAATGAAGTAGCAGCTGTAGTAATCGTTTTATATAATGATGGTTTTGAGGTATGTTTTGTCGGATTCAACACTCCCAACACCGAGGTCTTAAAAGTATGTGCATTAAAATCTGGCGATTTTGGCATATCCCCGAAAAATTTCTCAGTTAAAGCAACAACTTCTTCATGATGTGCACCGGCAGCTGCTACAACAATTCGCTCAGGACGATACCAGTTTGCAAGGTATTCTTTAATTAACTCCGGTGTCATTTCTGCAAGTTTAGGCTCTGGACACAGCATCGGATTCCCTAACGTGTTGTCTTTATAGGCAACTGTGTGCAAAAGTTCTGGTAATATCATGTCTGGCTTTTGCCATATTTCCGATAATTCGTATATCGCGGTTTGTTGTTGTTCAGCTACTTCTTCTTGCGTTATTAGTGGATTTCGAATCGCGTCTGCCAATATATTCAAGAGATGCGGAAGATCTTGATAAAATATCGCGGATTGATACATTATAGCCTCACGACTGCTTGCACACATAACATTCCCGCCTAATGATTCGAGTTCAGTTTGCATTCGCTCTATTGTCCGATTTTTTGTGCTCTTTTAATTGATCACAACGTAGAAATCCAATTGCTCAAGATTAGAATGGATTCAATATATGTGAGAAGGTGTATTTGAATTAATAAAGAATATAAAAAAGCAAAAAAACCTTGAATGCTAATCGATCTACTAAATGACTAACACCCATTGTTCGTGGTGTCTCATATCTTGAGCCTGCGTCTAGATATACCCCAACAGCTGAAAAATGCCCTGGCGTATTTTCGGTAGTTACACGTATTCCATTGGAAAGCGTCGTTATTTTTGTTATACTATTGTTTTGGGTTGGGTTTAAGGCCTTGATTAAAAAATTTACACATACAATAATTAGGAACAAATTCAGAGACTTTTCATATGACAAAAAAACATGTAATACATTAAGTGCCTCTGATTGTATTGGAGAGGTGTTTGTTGATGCTCGCCTCGATAAGGCAGGATTTTTTAAAAGTTTAAATGCGGAAGTATTCTTAGATATTGAAGTTGCAGCTCGAAGTAATTGACGGGAAGCCATTAATATTCAATTTTGTATAACTGAAAAATTTTCGAGTAGAGATAAGGGGGAGTGACAGATATTAGTTAATATGCTCTTTTGATAGATCTGCAAAGACCCCAAATTTAGGTCATTCGCTAGGCATAATACAAATATATTATTATTATCGTTATAAAATAAAAGTTTATTGAACATTAACCAAAAAAAGGGTTATTTCTAGCAATAGAAGATTGTTGATGGATGAAGCGAAATAACTAATTTAGGGTAACTGAAGATAATATGCCATAACGTAAAATGAATTTGTGGAACCTAATCCTAGACGCGCGTTTTGGTATCTCCATAATATTCCTAAGGTCTACAAATTTCATCGATTCGAACCACTAATCGTTATAGCGGAATTCAGTATTCCATAAAAGATAATTAGATTTTGAGCTTGAATCGCGTTTTAATATCTAAGTATTATAATTTTATAGCTACTAAGACTTTTATATCAACAAGAATCTCTAAAAAAATATATACATAATGGTAAATTTCTGGAAAGTGTTTCTAACCAGATAACAAGCCAGAATGTCTCAACATTGGTCTAATATCTGCTTCTTCCCGACCACGGAATAATTTCCATACTTGTCGTGGATGAATGGATCCTCCTAGAGATAACAAAGTTTCACGGTAATGACGTCCAATTTCCGCTAATTTGGCCTTCTTTTCTTCAGGGGGAAGATTCTCGACCGCTTCCTCGAAAGCAGCGTATGCGTCCACCGAATAAACTTCTGACCATTTATAACTATTAAGATAGATTCGTAAGTTTTTAATAAAAATTTGCGAAAATCAAAAAAAAAAGTCAAATTAATATATCATCAATTAATTAGTGATTCACCTGTAATATCCTGCACTATAGCCGTCCGAATACATTCCACTAAAAATATGTAAAAAACTACACAAGAATCGATCTTCCGGCAACACAGGAGTAACCAGCATTCGTTGAGCCAACTCTTTATAAAGATCAAAAACAGTTTTCTGATTTGCGTTTACTGCAGTAGGTTCAGGCGGTGTGAAATTTGAGTGGAGGGTCAAATCCACTTGGGCAAAATGAAGCTGTAAAAAAAATTAGATTTCTAGATCGAGTTATAACTAATAAACATATTGTTTATTTAAATGAATGAAAATTACTTGTCGTGTCGCCATCATCCCCGCAAGATATTGACGATTTTTTACTAGTGAATCGATCATATCTTTGGGCATTGGCTTTCCAGTCTCAACATGTGCTGACAGTCGCGAAATTATCTCGGGCTCGTAAATAAAATTTTCCATGAATTGTGAAGCGACCTAAGTTTGTAAATTAAAACTTAAATATCGAGAAATCAACTTTGGATTTATTCGTTTTGAGATGCTCACCTCAACGAAGTCCCTGTATTACCAAAGTTAAGTAATACGGATCAATAATTTATTTATTTCAAGGTAACAATAATTTAAGGTTTTATCTACCATTCAATACCCTTAATCCCAGATACTTGCGGTAAGTCCACTGTGGTCAGAGACTAAAAAGTAATTTTTTAAGCCTTGAAATGTTTCAAATCAAAATTCATAATACTTGAAACATACGTGTTGTAAACCATGTCCAAATTCATGGAATATCGTTTCCACATCCCGAAAAGTCATTGTAGATGGGGTAGAGGAATTTGTTGAAGGTGGTGGGGCATTGCAATTCACATACCCTAAAGGTTAGAGTATTAGATGGGTGACAAAAACATCGAATAATATACATATAAAATAATTATTTAATAATTATAAGTACCTACTGGTACTCGTACTTGGCCTGTTTTGAAATCCTTGCTCCGGGTAGCGCAAAGATCCACCCATGCACCGCCTTTTTTTTCTTCCGGACGACTATGACATTTCAACAATATTATTTAACTAATCTTATCGGTGCAAATTGATCTTTCCTACCTATAAAAATCTCCATAAAAGTAAGCCAATGGTGCCTCAGTAGACTTATCCACAATCTTGTACACTTTAACATCTTTGTGCCAAGTTGTGAACCCCTCTTTTTTCTGATCAACCGCCTGTACACGGACTCCCAGAAGTTCTTCCGTCAACTCAAACAATCCATTAATCACTTTATGAAATGTAAAGTATTTAGATATTTCGTCGTCAGAATACTTGAACAAATGTTTTCGATATTCTTCGGCTACATATGGCACGTCCCACGGTTTAATTGGCAAGTTTAGCTCAAGTTGATTTTTGGCAAAGAGCGTAAGTTCCTCGAATTCACGCTTGGCAACAGGCATCGCAGCTTCAAAGATGTCCTGGATAAGTTTATTAGCAGATTCTAGTGTACCTGCCATCTTGTGTGAAAGCGATAAAGCCGCGAAATGCGGAAAGCCTAGAAGCGATGCCTCCTCTTTTTAAAAAAATTAAAGGATTAAGCCTTAGTTGAACTTTTTTAGTATTTAAATAAAATAGAAGACGTTACCATTTCGAAGCTTTAATATCTCGTTAATTATTGGCTCATTGTTAACACCTTCTGTCGAAGCACGGGCATTAAGACCACGATATACCTAGTGTTTTCACCGAGGGAACACCAAATTTATAGAATTTATATTTACTATATTCGAAAAAGAATTTTTGTTTACTTTTTCACGCAGTGAACGATTCGCGCAAAACTTTAAGAATGGAGCAATACAAGGTTCATCGAGTGTTACGGCCCAAGGACCCTTCTCTATTAAAAAAAAAAAAATGAAAAATGACATATATATTTTCTGATAATTATTTCGGATGAAATTTACCTGGATCCCCGTCACCAAAGCCTTTATTTTTAGCAGACTTGGCCATATGCTTCAGCAACTGATCAGGACATCCACGAAGTGCTTCTCGATCTTTCACAATTTCTGCGAAAGCTTTAGTCGCATCCAAAACATTATCCGCGAAATTTAGCGAAATTTTTGATAATCTATTACGAATTTCGTTAAAACGAGTTTTCTCTGGTGAACCATCGACAAGTCCAACACCAGTAAGTTGCATTTGCTGAATATTTAACTGGACAACTCGTTGCTGCGCTGGTGACAAGGAGGCAAAACTTTCTGGAGTATTCGCGAGTTTTGTCAAAGCTTGGTATAATGGATAAGATTGATTCATTCGAAGAGTAAGTTCCGTGATTTTGGGCTAAGAAATAATCAAAGTGCTTGCTTAATATTGATTTTGTGCTCAACAAAATTATAATTTTTCCACAACGTACCTGCATTTTCTCAATAACTTCTCGAAGTTCCTTGGATTCTTTAACATTTTTCAAATGCTTAGGGATATTTACTGCGCGCTCCAAATCATCCTCAAGGTCTTGCACTTTATTCAATAGCAAATTCTTTAAAATTTAATCGATATTATTCCAGGTCGCAAAGAATGTGCTTCTTACCTAACCCTATAGATCCTTCCCAAGTCGGCGAAAAGTTCTTCTCTCGTTTTAAGAATTCTTTTTCTACTCGTGGCAAAAGTATTTCCAAGGCAGAGAGTATATTTTCTGGAGTTATCGCCGCAAAGTTAGGAAACTTGTCCCAGTTCAGCACGGGGTTTTCGCGTTCTTCGGGAGTTTTCGCAATCCAAAAAGGTGATTTATCAAGTCCGACGTTTGCCATACTTGCGAAAGAAGCGATAGAATTAGTAAGTAATAAGTGATGAGCTCGTTGCGTTGGAAGAAGAAAAATTCGGCGTCTGCCAAAACTTTCTAAGCGTGTTGTGGCTTGTCTGTTTAATCTGTTTAATACTACAGAAAGTGAATTGACATTCAATAGCGATAAGGAATGGACGCATTTTAAAATCATAACGAAAAAAGTTATGTTTCTGTCCAATCATAAAAAATTCTATTTAGTGGATCAAAAAATTCGATCTCATCTAACATAATAAAAAAAAGTTGATATGTCCTTGCCCAAAGAGAACTTAGAATTCGACGAGAATTCTCAACGCGAGCTTACAAAATTTCTCGAAGGGGAAAATGCAAAAGCGCGACTGCAACAACATGTACACATGTTTACCGACCTTTGCTGGGACAAGTGTATCGGAAAAATTGGGAATAAACTCGATCGGTCAGAAGAGACTTGCCTGACAAATTGTGTCGAACGGTTTCTTGATACAAGTATTTTTATTGTAAAGAGGTTGGAGGAGCAAAAGAATCAGTTGTTATAGGTTCGTATTTTATTCGAGTGTAATGAATCTGGTTTATTAAGCTAATTCCACCATTTATTAATTTTGGATTGTAACATCTTTGAGTTTTTACAGTTACCATAAAATCTCGTTTTCCTGCAATTTCCTCGAATTAGATAACCATAGAGATGCAGTAGAATGTACAAATAACAACAGTATATTAATAACAATATTAATATAATAATAGCAATATTTAATATTATTATTAATATTAATAACAAAAAGTACTACTACTTATTCCGAGCAACAATATAAATACTACTAATTATACAAACGGCCTATGCAAATACCTCCACCATTTTCTTTTGTTTCGAAGTTCATCAATAACTCCTCTCGGTAGTGGATGAAGATAAGTGGGTGCGAATGTAAATTCACGTACAAATTTTACAGGGGTGTCCCATCGCGTTTCTTAATAAATACAAATAAAATAGAATAATTAGAGAAGTATAAAAATAAGCATAATTATTAATGATAATAGTTACCTTCTTGTTCAGCTTCCGGATCTTTCTTCTCGCGTTTAGGAAGCTCTATTTGGATGTGCTGCTCACCAGGTATTCCGGATATAAATCGACGCCATCGAAATCTATCTTTTTTTTTAGGATCATTGGTAATTTCTATGCACTTCCATCTACATTTAACAACTCGCCTGCAGCCAATAAATAATTATTCGTTAAAAGTATGTGAAAACAAATACAATCCAAATAATATGTTTGTTGCAAGTGGGAATGGAATATTGATGGATTCGAGAAGTTTTTGGCTTGAACTAATCACCCATTACCCTTACTCTAACTCTGGTCATACTCCCTACTCTAATCCCATCTCCGTTCCCACTTACAACATATACATATACATATATATATATATATAATATGCTTTTCGCGTTTACATTTGTTTAGGATCAGATCTAAAATTAAAGTGAAAGTTTAATATATAAGTAAATTCTTCAATAAAACTAAAATATTACAATGATAATAATTACAAATTAAGATCATTTGGATGCACAAGTTGAACGTTAGACACATGAATTGGTCGCTCAAACTCCACCATCCACCAAGGACCGACGCGTTGTTCTGGCGGTGGTGGAGGTTTAGGACTAGGATTAAATTCTTTGGGTGTTTTTAGTCCCTAATTGTCAAATTTTTCCAATATTATAAAGATGAATTAAATACAATTAAACCAATTTTTTTGTATATTACTTACGATATTACAATTTTCCACTATAACTTTATTTGTCCATTTATCAATCGACGTCACTTTTCCTACTTGTCCTTTTGCTTTTCCAGATATAATTTTTACCTTTACGCGTTTTTTTTAATATAAAATTACTCAACTTGTCGCAAATTACGAATAATAATAATTTAACCCATACAATTCGTGAATTTATTATATGTCGCGTAGCTATTTTCTTACTGACAGTAACAATATTATATTATTACCGTATCACCCTCTAGTATCTTCCAAAGCTTTATTCTATCTTTTGGATGAGCCCAATGCTTCTTCTCATTTACACGCGAAACTCGAACTTTATGAAACTTTGACCATGTTTCTCGTGCCATATGTGCAAAAGGCCATTTTGCAGACCTTGGCCCGTGTGTTGCAACTTGTTGTGCCATTTTTTATTTAGTTATGTCTGGAATTCAAGGCTATATGGAATGATCTTATCGTTAAATTACACATATTCTTCAAAAAAATTTACTGTTATGACTCAGATTTTAATTAGGGAACATTCCACTAGATTCCATTACACAAAAGAACCCATAACAAAATGTCTTCCTCAATTCCCACAACTCCCCAGATAAAAGTATATGGCCAAACTCATTTATATCTGACAACACCCATATACTTCCAATTAGTAGTATTAAAGGATTCAGCATTTGCTTGGGTGGCAAGCCACGGTAACGAAGTACTACAGAATTTGGCCGTTGCCATGCCGCCAGTTTCTTATGGAGGTCGAGACAGTTCACTGGTACCACCAGCTACGACTTTGCTAACAAGAAACGTAAATGAACTTTCAAAGCAGTTAGGACAGAAATTAGGTATTTTTTATAAAAATTTCATGTTGATCAAAAATAAAATCTATTAATTTTCTTCTTTAAAAATAAAGCTCGAAAATTCAATAAACAATTCCTTGTGAGTCTGAATCTCCCACCAATAACTGATCAGGGGTTGATTGCATTTGCGGAAAAGAAACTTGTAGCATTTATTAAAGAAATATTCGAGCCTTCATCCACATCTTCATAAAAATTATATATTATTACCATTATTGCTTTTGCCAGTGCAATGTTCTTTAACTTGCAAAAAAAACCAAATTTTAATTCTCAATGTTCGTATACCAAAAACCCAAAGAAAACATTTT